GAATTATTTACAGTGGGTTTGTTTTTTTATATTGCCAAGTGTCTAATGATTCTTATTTTCTTTCATATAAGCAGTTTAGTGTAGACACAGTCTTTTGGGGCTGAAACTATAAAGAGACAAATACTGGAAGAAAATAGAGTCCTTGTGTTCATGAATTAAAATGATTAAATATAGGCTTTTTTAAGGAACAAAAATTCGAGGAACTCTGTTATTCATATAAATGCTTAATAGTTTTTCTTTCTTTTAGTATTTTATCCTGATTTTGAAAAATCAGGATCTTGCCCTGAGTTTTTATTGCATGTCATAGCTTTATTAAATTTAAGCACCTAAAAGAATTTTTAGATACATTCACGAATTAATTCATTGTGCTCTTCATGGATTCGACAAATGCTTATTGAGCGTTTTCTGTATTCCAGACACTGTGCAAGATATTGGGGAGAAGAGAATACATAAGACACATCAAGAGGCCTACATTCTAGTGAGGCATAATGTCAAACATATAGGCAGTCGGTTAATAGAGTAGGATGAGCAGTATGATAGAAATAGGCCCGGGGGCTATGGTGGTACTAGGAATCACTACACTAACAAAAGTTTTGTCAAGGAAGGCTTCGTAGAGGAAGTGGACAATAGCCAGGTACATGGGAGGTGAAGCAGGAAAGGAGATGCAGAATTTAGGCAAAATGTTTCCAGGCAGAGAGAACATGAAAGCTTGGCAGGCTCAAGAAATTACATATAGGTCTCTGTGATTTTACAAGTAATGAAGACCATGAGATACTGAATAGCAGATTTCAAGCTGGGGGCTTAGTATGACAGATTTCCAATGCAGAACTCTTCCCACTGTTCTTGTGTCTGTACAGAGAGCCTATGTTGAGCATGACAATAATAAGTTACACTCACCTGTCAAAACACCCTGCAGATGCTCTGTTTTTTTTTTAATTATAACCACACTTGACCATCTAAAATTAACATAACATCAGGTACCATCAGAATTCAGTGCTATAACAAATGAAATGTAATATGTGGCATAAAAATCAAGTTGGTTATTTATATTCAGAATATTGAAATAGATCAGATACCAGTTAAATCTATGGCTAAGCTAACACATTTATTAAATGTCTTTATAGACATACAAAACTGAAAAATTGGATAGTTCTGTTCTTATCATTGAAACTCTAAAATGTATTTTTTATTTATATGAAACCTTTTTCTTTTTAATCCATGAAAATATGATTTATCCAGATTTTTTTGTACTTTGTAAAATACCAAGGTATTGAATCACAAATATACCCTAATTATATCAAATGGTTATAATTTTAAAGTATTCAGTTGAAATAGCATACATATGTACTTTATGTATTTGCTGTAAGTAGTATCAATTATGATGCTGAATATGTTGGCTCAGTTAATTACAGTAATATTTGTGCCTAAAGACTTATTCTACTTTATGATATTTCATTGAAGTTTTTTTTCCTTAGGAAAATGTTTTACCAAGCATAACTATTATCTACTACTATGAATTTATTTTATTCTTTACACTGATAATAAGCAATGAAAGAAGAATCTTTCCCTTCTGAGGAAAATCTAACATTTCCAACAGAAACACATTTGGTTCAGTTTACACAGCATTGAGTTTTTAGCACCTGTGTGCTTTCTTTGAAGTTTAAGTCAAACAGTTCATATTGTGTTATTTGAATTGTTCACAAACTATTTTCTTTTATCTGAATACAGAAAGGGAAATTGGGTAAAATTGGTAATACATCATCTTTTCCTTTGTGCAGATAACTTCTCTTGGATGTGTTATTATTCGGTATCATAGGGCTGCCATCTAGTGTCTCCATAGGGTACTTGTTTGTTAAGTTTGTGAAATTGATTAAAAGAGGAACTTTGATAACAGTGTTTCAGATTGGGATAAGTGCAGTAAAATTGTTGTGAACTAATGTGAAGATTATTTTCCCATAATAGTTCTGTTTTCAAATATGGAAGTTCTAGAACTCTTTTAAGACATTAAGTCAAACCAAATATTAAAAACTTAAGAAACAGAAAACTGTCATGATTTTTAAGAAATCTATTTTTTGGTACCCATTTGTGCATTAAGCATTCGGCCAAGTCCATGTTAGAAAAATAGAATAATTTTCCAAATTGGCCTTTATATTTTATATGGGGAATATAATCAAGTTTAATAATTAACAACAAAAACATTTCAGAAAAATCCTCGCTCTGGTGGTCCAAATAGTCAGTGAACACTTTTATGGGTCATCTCATTCTTTCATGCCATAAAGTTGATGTTCCCCAAGGCCTTTTTAATGAATTTAACATGATTCTCTTTTATCCATGTACAACTAGTGCAGAATGCCTCCCACAAACGGTTCATATCCCTAACCACTGAATGCATTTTATCTCAAAATCGCCTTCTCCACATAGATATAACTTTCTGAGGAATATAACATTAACTGACTTTGATATAAATTGTGTTGCTTTTTTTCCCTTCTGTTACCAAAGAACATGCTTAAATACGAGTTCTGATATAACTTTTCTCTTTCAAATTATATTTTAAGTCCAGAGGTAAAGCATCTTTTTTATTTTCTGTTACTTCCCTTACTACACCTCTCACTTAGTGTACGTTTGAGTTACAGGATGAACTCAACAAATACAGCTCTGTTTTTTTAACTTGCTATCTGGAAAATTTTCAAATCCAAAGAAAAATTGAAAGAGGAGTAAAATTTACACCTTTATACCATTTATCTGGATTCATCAATTGTTAATACTCTGCCATATTTACCCCCTCTCTCCTGTTTCTCTTATATTACATATACGTATAGTTTAAAAGCGAATTCCTTGGCGGGAAACCTAGATTTTATTTACCTATTTCCTGTATATATTTTTTAAGTATCCTTAGTGGATTTTGTGAACCAAAAAAGCTGTTTACCTTTACTTGCTTTGTATAAATGAGAATTAGTTTATTATTATAACATTTTTAAAAGCTTGCTTTTCCTAAGCCTTTAAATTCAGTTTATATCTCATTTTTCTATTTTTAAATCTGCTATAACAAAAGCAATTATCTTCACTTTTTAAAAAGTAAATCAGTTAACTCAAGTTGAAAATAAACTTCTTTATAAAGTGTCCTATTTACAGCACATTTGATTACTTTCTCAAATTTTAAGCCATACAAACATATTCAGTCTATTCAAGTTTTTCTCAAAGTTTTAAAGGCCTTAGCTTAGAAAAAACCCTTTATAAATATTGAAATAATTTTAAAAATCTAATAAAATTTATAAACCTGAGGGGCACCTGGGTGGCTCAGTCGGTTGAACGTCTGACTCTTCATTTCAGCTCAGGTCATGATCTCAGGGTCACAGGATCAAGTCCTGCCTGGGGCTCCGTGCTCAGCAGGGCGTCTGCTGGAGATTTTCTTCCTCTCCCTCTGCCGCCATCCTTCTCCCCGCTCGCTCTCTGTGTGTCTAAAATAAATAAATAAATAAACCACTAAAAAACTAAAATTTATAAACTTGAAATCAAGTTCTCCTAAATTCTGTTTATGTACTCAGTCAAATTTTTAAACCTGTACTTTTAATAATTCTAATTCTAAAATTAATTCGGTTAAATGTACTAAATTAGAGATACAATTAATTTGAATTCTCTTAAACTTTAAAGCACTTGAAATACCATTTGGACACATCCGTATTTAACAGGAAAACATTAATACATTGAGCTCAGTATGGTCATCAGCTCTATATTTTTTAAACCTGACCAGAGTTATATGATATTCATTATGAGAATTTGACCACCCTAAATTGAGGCTGGTGCTTCTAGTGATCTGCTACTATCATTTGCTTCTTTTAGAGATTTTTGGCAGGGACAGGACACCCAAACTGCATATGCCTAGGACAATCCCTCTGGCCCCACTCATGGGCACACTGATTATCTTTTGTTGTCCCTTTGACAAAAGAGAACTCTCAGTTCCTATGCTTGAGAGGTGTCAGTCTTTCTGCAGTTCCCTTTACCTTTATTTTTCTATTTGTTATTTTTTTTCCTCTTCTCATAAGCTGTTTTAATGTTTTTCTGGCCGTTTCCAAGGACACATTGTCATTTCTTGAAACCCTGCATACATTTGTGATTCCTTGATCTAACTTTAAGTCTGGGACCTCCACCGCATGTTATAAGTGACTTCGTTCATTCTGTTAACGGATTAAATTATAAATTATATCATTCCCTTCTATGCCACAGACTTACAAATTATATGACAACTAATTGGATTATTTACAACTTTGTCAGACTTTGTGGTTCCTATACTAAAATCATGTTAATGGAAGCAATCTCTTGCTCCAAGAAGGATTTCAGTTAGCTGTCTTGCATATAATACCAATAATAATAATATAAAAATTAATAATAATACCCTGATGATATAAAAGTTAAAAGAAGTTTGGTAAAATAAAATGAACCAGATTACTTGTCGAATATTTATATAGGTCTGGGGCGCCTAGGTGGCGCAGTCAGATAAGAGTCAGACTCTTGATTTTAGATCAGGTCATGATCTTAGAGTCATTAGATCAAGCCCTTCGTGGGCTCTGCACTAAGCGCGGAGCCTGCTTGAGCTGCTTTCCCTCTGCCCCTCCCCTCCACTTGCGCATGTTCTCTTTCTCTCTCTCAAATAAATAAATACATCTTTTTAAAAAATGTATCCATATAGGTCTTAGTATATGCCAGCTATTGTTTGAAGTGTTTTACGCTTTAAAGTACTTTTGAATGCTATTCCTATTTGGAAATGGGGAAACTGAGGCACAGAGAGGTTAAGCAACCGGCCCAAGTTCACACAGCTAGTAAGTGGCAGTCGATATTCCAATGCTAGCAATCTGACAGTACCCATGCTCTTACAATAGTATTCATTTCATGAGGTCATATACGCAGTAAACCTGGATATGTTTGATGTCCTTGTGGCATATGGATTGTTGTCAGATCCAGAAACAAATACTGACTTCTTTTGAACTGATGTTTCCACGTAGGTAATGAATTGTTTGCTGGACTCTATAGTGATTACTGGGGCAGAGACGCTGCGATCTTCCGGAGCATGGGGCGACTGGCCCATATTCGCACCGAGCATGACGACGAGCGCCTGTTGAAAGGTAGGGTTCGAGAGAAAAGAGCATGTAAATCAGAATTGAGAACAAGTCTAGAACTCAGGGGAAATTTGCCATTTTGATAATAACAATATAAATGTCTTTTACGGTTTTTACAAATTTCAGAATTTTAGTAATATTCCTAAATTAAAATATTATCTGTAATATGCATATATCATTTTAGATCAAAATGGACTGGCTGTATTATAAAACCAAATTACCCACATAGCAATAGTTAGAAATCAGGATTTAAGTGAAGAAAACAAACCAAATATATGAAAAGCAAAAACAAAAAAAACTCCTTTTATCCAATAAGTTGTTTTGTTTTCTCTTGTCAGTTGGTATATTTTGGATGAATTGATTGTTTTGCTTATTTTAATGGGATCACATTGTATTTAGAGACAAATAAAATTCTAAGAAAATCACTAGCCATTCGTTGATAGAAATAATGTATGTTTTGGCACACTGGTCTATCCAGGGATGAAAATATCATTTAATAATGAATTTTTTTTATTATTTTTAGCCTTTTTATTAAGCTTTAGAGTACATAATCATTATTGGCAGCATGTTATCATTAAAATATTTGACATAGTATATTAGTCAAGGGTTGTTCACGCCGATCCCTTAGACTACAAACATAAAGACTTAAATTTTCTACCTTAAAATTAAAATGGTCTTCCATGAGCTGCACTGGTAGATAATCTATGAATTTAAAAAAATGATAAACTTTTCTACTCAAATATTTTACATATATTTATGTTGACTTTTTATATATATGGGAGGAAATTAATGGAGATGATCACCATCGTGCCCCTAATCTGTTCTTTGAATGCATTTTAAGGTATGTTGTTTGAAATTGGTTTTTCCTTTCTTGACTCTTATTTTCCAATTAAAATGTCCTCTCCTAGTTCTAGACAAAACTGTTGGTTTGCAAAGAGAATGGAGATGTCTACATGATTTCACTGTTTATACAAAATGTCAAGGAAAAGACTTTATTGAAACTGAAGCATTCATGTGATAGGTAATTTATTGAATAACCTAGCATTTTGTGGTGATAACTATTTTACTTTTCTTCTACTTTTTTTTTTTTATATCTGTAGAACCAAAATTTGTAGGTTCGTACATGATTCCTGACAATGAAGACCGAGATGACAACAAAGTGTATTTCTTTTTTACCGAGAAGGCCCTGGAGGCCGAGAACAGCGCGCAGGCCATTTACGCCCGAGTGGGGCGACTCTGTGTGGTGAGGCCTTTCTCTCTTGTTCGGCGTGCTTACCTCATGATTTACCGTCACGCCTTGGTGATTGTATAGTAGGCTTTCTACTTTAAGATATTTTCTAGTTTAAAAAAAAAATTTTTTTTCTAGGATTCTGTAGGCTGCCTAAAACCAGTATTCGCTATCTAATCTTGAGACTGCACATCTCCTGAAAGTTTTATCCTAATAGAACTGTGCCTTTTGTGTAATCATCTCATTTTCAAAGCCATACTAAGAAGAGCGAGTCTGTAGGTAGGCTGTATTTCTTCCCACACAGAAGTTTGAGCTCCCTTTTTAAAAATTAATTTAACCAAAATCTTTCTAGTTTCTTTAGTCCACATTCTAAATAATTTATATTATGTTTCAACAATTCAATTGGTTGATTCTGTAGAAAAAACATCTGTGGTTGGTTGGGTATTCAGATAGGCTGTTCGTGAATATTCAAAACCAACTGCAGTAGCCATGTATATTGAGAGAATTGCAAAGGTAAAGTTTGATATTTAAGAATAAATTTAAAAGAGGGGCGCCTGGGTGGCTCAGTCGTTAAGCGTCTGTCTTCAGCTCAGGTCATGATCCCAGGGTCCTGGGATCGAGCCCCGCCATCGGGCTCTCTGCTCAGCGGGAAGCCTGCTTCTCCCTCTCCCACTCCCCCTGCTTGTGTTCCCTCTCTCACTGTCTCTCTCTGTGTCAAATAAATAAATAAAATCTTAAAAAGAATAAATTTAAGAGGAAATTTATATATACACATATATGTGCATGTATGTACATTTGTGTGTGTATATGTGTGCAAATATATGTGTATGTGCTGTGTATGTGTGTATTTCAACTTTTTTTTTCTTTTAGAAAAAAAAGAGTGGATGTTTTCTGTATTTCCAAGATAAGCAGATTATCATTAATACTAAGTTTATTGTATTATAAAGGCCACTGCTTTATATAGGATAGGCCACTCTATTAACATTCTTTAATACCTGGAAAGTATATTTAATGGCCCAGAGTGAAAGTATCCTAACAAGGCACACTGTGCAAACCTCGAAGAGTTTTTATGGGGAATTGCGTCTTTGGTATTATTTGAGGATTAGGCTACATTTCCAGATTAAATAAAAAGAATTACAACTGTTCTCATCTGCATGTTTAATAATACACAATTTGTTGTTGTTAGAAGCTCTTTAGGTACTCACTCACCTGCTTTTGTTCATCACAGAATGATGTGGGAGGCCAGAGGATACTGGTGCATAAGTGGAGCACTTTCCTAAAAGCCAGACTGGTCTGCTCAGTACCAGGCATGAATGGAATTGACACCTATTTTGATGAATTAGGTAAATCTTCTTGAGAGAATTGAATTTTACTCTGTGCTGTGTATTCCTCTCTCCACTCCTCACTCTCTCTAGCACGTATGGAAACTTGCTTCCTGCAATGAGCAATTTTCTGGTCTTTTCATTGTGGCCAGGTCGGCATGGTGGGGTCAGGGGAGTTTCAGGAACAGGAGATCCCTCTCAATAGCTGACGGTCAGCACTCCGTTCCTTCCTTGAGGCCCAGCTCGGGGTCATCCTGAACAGCCAGGTGTTTCGCTCTGTTGTGATTTGGTCTTGGGCGTATGACTGTGTACGGAAAGAAATTGATGTCTTACATAAGTAATGGGTTCTAAGCTATTTTATGTCAATATATTTTCTTTACATGCAAAGAGGACTAAAAATATTCATGTAATGGTCTTTAATTTTCCAGAGGATATTTTCTTGCTGCACACCAGAGATCATAAGAACCCAGTGATATTTGGACTCTTTAACACTACTAGGTGAGAAATTTATATGATCTATTAAAACAGGATGAAGCAAAATATGCCTTATTCCTTCACTATGTATGGAAGTTGGAAATACTGTTGACCCATTGTCCTTGTCTATTATTTTTTGTCACCAATTTCTCTTTGTTCTCTTATGTTTACAATTGTTCTTTTATTTTTAAAGCCATGACCTCAGTTCAGATCTTTCTTGGTTACTGTTTGAAGCGCCCCACCATCCTTCTGTGCTCCGTGTTCTAATCTCCCTTCTCTCCGACTACCTTCCTCGTCCTTCTCTCAGAATGATTTTCTTCTCGTAGTTTATGATATTAGTTCCATGCTATAGAGGCTAGCATAATTCTTTTAATTGTCATTCAGTTTTCCAAATCAGGTCTTCAAGGCTTCTCTATCCACTGTTAGCCACTCAGCTTTGGAAGTTCTTCCTACAGGATTATACCTTGACAGAATCTGTGTCCAACTCATTAGGGTTCCATCACTATGATTTTATTTACCCACCTGTCTTGCTTCACATGGCTTTACCTTCCAACACTGATTTGTATCAGTTCTCCGGTACTTGTCAGTTGCCATCTATAAGAAATATTCTTTGATATCTTAATCACAGAGCACTTTGCTCACTCCTTTATTCAGGTTGTCACTGCTCCCGTGTAGATTCATAGCAAACATATATTTATGATTTGCCTTCCATGTTTTAAATTTAAATAAGCTGTTCAAATTTAGGGCACATAATCTGTTTTTTCTCTTTAACGTGTTTGTATTTTGTCCATCGAAGAGTGTTAGAAGAATATGAAATGTTATTTCATGTGTGTCAATACATGAATGAAAAAATATCATTAGAAGCAGTTTTGGTTGAAATTTTACACATATAATTTCCTGAGTTTGTCTTTCCAAATAGGAGAGGGTGGAGGTGAGATGACTGGAATGAGAAATAAAGAATATACCTTGGGCTGCCTGGGTGGCTCAGTTGGTTAAGCATCTGACTCTTGATTTTGGCTCAGGTCATGATCTTACGGTCTTGAGATGGAGCCCCATGTTGGGCTCTGCTCTCAGCGCAGAGTCTGCTTGAGATTCTCCTCCTCCCCCTCCCCTTCCCCTGCTCCCCCATCTCTCTCTCTCTCTCTCTCAAATAAATAAATCTTAAAAAAGAAAAAAAAAAAGAATATACCTCAGTTCTTGTGACAGGAGTAGAATGATTGAATTCCCTTCCTCTTTTGCATTGCACTGGCCTTAAACTGTGTTATAATCACATTTACCTTGTTTGCTGAGGGTCTCTCCACAAAGCTTTTGTTTGTTTTTTCAGCAGGTGATTTCGTACACTCAGTTTGAAAACAATAATAAAGTTCTTCCGATAAATATTGTGCTATTGTAAGGAGACCTTTTCTTCAACAGAGAAACATGGAAACAATTTTGCTATCAGTTCTTCCTTGATGCAAAGTAAAGTAGTGCATGTAGATTGGTAGTTGTCACAGTCCTCGGAAAATCCCTTTTTTTTTTTTTTAACTTCATCTTTATTCTTATGCCAGTGAAGAATTTATACATTGCATTCTAATTCCATGGCTTTATATAATAAATAAAAGCTATGGGATAACCAGAACAGGTTTTCTGTGGGTTCGTATGGTCAGTTTATGAGCTACTTTCCTAAGCAATAGCCTAATGGATCTGTCTAGATTTCAAAGACAACACGTTATTTTCTTCCATTATTTCGGTTGTGACTGTTACTTTATACATAAATCTGAGGAAAAGGCTTCCCAGCTGTTACCTGACGTAAAGGTTGGTATTTGTAGCATGGTGATCAAAGGTTTATTGCCACTTTAGTTGGGAGACTTTCTCTGGTTTTCTCACTATTGCAGGCATTTCCAATTGCTTCAAGGTGTGTTATAAAATGTGTGAATTGATGTCCTAAGACAGTAATATAACTGCTGTTCTACAGGTGTCTCCGAGTGTAGGAACTTCTGCGTTTAGAAAGAACTGGGCATTGTGCAGAGCACTTCCCTAAACATTAATTATTTTGATTCTCACAGGAGGATGGGGACATGTTAGAATTCATTCAGAGCCTGCCAAATTAAGGAAGACGGCCAGATTTGTATAACAAATCACTTAAAAATGTCCTTTTGCAGAATCTCTTCGCAAAAGCCCCTGGTAAAACTTGCTATAGTCAGTCATCGGCAGTCTTTATCTTTTGCACATAGAACTTTCTATTAAAAAAAAAAAATGATTTCAATTGCTGCTAGTTCTGGAGGTAAAGAATCCAAGTTTTATATAATTTAAGTCATTTTCCTCCAAATTAATGTAGTTCAGTCCAGTCATCTTTCCAATATGGTACAGTTTCAGTGGCCTGGAGGTCACTGGAGGAGGGGATGTACAACAAGCTTATTGATGCCTCTGTGACCCCAAGGTAAAAAGAATGGAACAAAGCCCCAAAGTTTCATAGGACTTTAACTTGTTATTTGATCATAGACACTGAGAAATCAAATAAAATTTGAACAGAATTACCAGTATTAACAGCATAGTGATTAGGCAAACACTGTCTACTCTGAATATGAAACAACAGACAAGGAGATAAAGCTTAAAACGAATAATTCAGCTTGGGAACGAATCTTTTTAAATATTCGGTCCATATTTTCCTTCACGAAAATGTACAAACACAATCTAAGATTTAGCAATAATAAAGTGAGGTGACAGATGTCACTGTTTTTAGTCTAACAATGTCATTTTCAGTTTATTGTAATAAGAAGGTAAAGAAATGGTAAGTTTTAGAGTTCCAGTACTTGAAATATTACAGTAGTTAATATTTCTAGAATATCCTCTATTTAAGAGATTGCAACTTTTTTATCCAAAAGACTTCATCCTTATCTCTGTAGTCTGAAGGGTGTGACTAGCTGACTGCTAGTCAGTTCCAGAATAGTAATTATCTTTTTTTTTTCCAGTAATATATTTAGAGGGCATGCAATATGTGTCTATCATATGTCTAGCATCCGGGCAGCCTTTAATGGACCATATGCACATAAGGAAGGACCTGAATACCACTGGTCACTCTATGAAGGAAGAGTCCCTTATCCAAGGCCTGGTTCCGTAAGTGTGGGCATTTAACACAGTATCCTTATTTTCTGAAGGCTCTCTTAGTAATATTTTGTTCAGTGTTTCAAATGCTCTACAAAACTTCCATTAAACAGTTAAGAAATTCTACACCCAAAAATGTGCTTGATTACTTGCACAGTAAAGAAATATCACTTCTTATATCTGGTTGTATGCTTTTTATTTAATGAAAAAAATCTATGATGGGTACATCTTAGCAGCATTATAAAGTCTGTATTATCATTGATATTTTGGCTAAGGAGCCCCAACTGAAATTGTATTTTTAAGATACACTGGTGAACACAGAAACATCCACTAAAAAGAGCATCACATTCCTCTGTTTCTTCAGAAGAATCAAGGCCACGTGCAATTTCCAAGGGGGAGAAAGTTACCAAATAATTGCATTGTAACGTTTGAGTCAGCCTCTAAGTTCCCTAGGCCAAACTTTCTCCTTACTTTTCACTTTAGCTTGACTGGAAGAAGTCTTTTCTCTTCCTCACCACAATACTTAGCATCTCATTCAATATCCTTGCTGGCTCTTGGGACGAGAAATGCCAATACAGAAGTGCGGCTAGAGTTCCAGAAGTTTTGCTGCTGACCTCTGCCCTCGTGCTGCCGAGAGGGAGCCCTCGTGCTCCAGCTCACCATGCACACTTTTGTGCTTTTACTTACACGTGTATCTAAAAACGATGTTCTGTGCACCGCTAGGTTGGCAAAATGTAGGCTCGTAGGTGCTCATGGACCATGGAGAACTGACATTTAACTTGCCGTACAAGTCAAAGTCTACACTTTTTTGAGCAGCTGGTGAAAACCCATCACTGTGCTGATTCCTCAAGTACTTGCAAGTCAAGTAGAAACCATTTTTGCAGAGCCAAAATCCAAAGTGGAAACAAACTTTCCCTCCATTAACAAGTGTAAAGCTTTACCATTTCAATCATTCTCACTAGCTTAAAATTACTACTTCCAGTAAGACATAAAGTATACTTTATTTCACTCTATTGATTGAAATTACAATTTAAATGGAGAAAACCCACTCCTGTGGCTTTGCTGGAAATGCTTCTTGAAACCACATGGTATTAAAGGAGATTTGGAGGAAGTGACTGGTTACTGAACTGCTTCCAGGCTGGTCCAGAATGTTTCCAATTATGTATCATGTAAGTACACTCCAGTGAAAAATTCAGGCCAAATTAAGAAATATGACCTGAATTTTAAAACAAACCATTAAAAATGCCCTCTTTGCAGAATCTGATTACTACACTACTGTATTTATACCTGAAAGTGGAAAATTCCTTATCAACATAATCATTGCAATTGCTGCTGATTCTGGAGGGAAAAAGACAAAATGAGGGAGTGCTTAATAACAAGCATGAATCAATGCAGTTAAAGGTATTCCAAGAAATAACCGAGGTGCTGTTGAACATTTATTTTTTGAGTCAGTGATTTAAGAATTCAGGCATGTTATAGCAAGTATTTCTCGTTTTCTCAACTTATTGTGTTGAATCCATATAGAAATAATATAAATTCATACAGATTACAGAACAGAGAGGTTTTTTTTCCCTTTAATTAACACTGACTGAATTTGAATAGGTTTCTTTGTTACAGCACTAAAATTCTATTGTCTGTGAGTCCATTGGAACCATCACATTATCTTAGTCTCAGTAATGGGAAAACTGTTTTGTCCAGTTGTGATCCTTAATCCAGGGCAGGGGATTTAACACAACAAAGAAGCTTTTTGTTTTGCTATGAAAATACTTTGTTTAGGTGGTGCCTGGGTGGCTCAGTCCTTAAGCATCTGCCTTCGGCTCAGGTCATGGTCCCAGGGTCCTGGGATCGAGCCCCGCATCAGGCTCCCTGCTCCGCGGGAAGCCTGCTTCTCCCTCTCCCACTCCCCCTGCTTGTGTTCCCTCTCTTACTGTGTCTCTCTCTGTCAAATAAATAAAATCTTAAAAAAGAAAAGAAAAAGAAAATACTTTGTTTACATTCAGAAGTTATTTTACAATGTGAAAAAATAAATATCAGAAAACGGGGGAAATAATATTTATGATGATACACATTTTTACCATCTTCGAATTGTACCAGTATTATTTAGAACTTCATTTTTCCAAGATTTCACTACTTTCTCTGTTTTTCTAGAGCTGAATGTTTGGAATGATTCAGGCTTTCTTTGCAGTCTTTATTTACTGCAGATTTTATTTCTCTAATGAAGAATATGTGGTTGCTAAATATTTCTAATTGCAGTTGTTAATTGAACACATTCAGTTTTCTGATTGTTTTTATAATTGATTATAAATGTGCTCTTTAGGTTTAAGGCAAAAAAAAAAAAAAATTTACCTATTTGTATTTCAGTGTGCCAGCAAAGTGAACGGCGGGAGATACGGAACCACCAAAGACTATCCCGATGATGCCATCCGATTTGCAAGAAGCCATCCACTTATGTACCAGCCCATAAAACCTGCCCATAAAAAACCAATCCTGGTAAAAACAGATGGAAGATATAATCTGAAACAAATAGCAGTAGATCGAGTGGAAGCTGAGGATGGCCAATACGATGTCTTGTTCATTGGGACAGGTAAAGAGATTAGAAAGTGCTGAGACATGTATGTTGAATCTTAAAATCAGTAACATTATTAGTATTTTAAAAACCTATCCACAGATCTCCTGTTAATCCGTTAGCCCGTTTGCACACTGCTCATTCCCTGAAATGGAAGAGAGGATTTGGGGCAGTTACAACGCATAATTCCTGATACACAGTCAGTACTTAGTATCTTTGAACAAGTGACTAAGTGAAGGATTGAGTAATTGATGTTAAAAAACAACACTGGCGGGCGCCTGGGTGGCTCAGTTGGTTCAGCGACTGCCTTCGGCTCAGGTCATGATCCTGGAGTCCCGGGATCGAGTCCCGCATCGGGCTCCCTGCTCGGCGGGGAGTCTGCTTCTCCCTCGGACCCTCCCCCCTCTCATGCTCTCTCTCTATCTCATTCTCTCTCTCAAATAAATAAATAAAATCTTAAAAAAAAATAAAATAAACAACACTGGTTCCAAGCAGAACTTCTCATAGAAGAAGGAGGCCACCATAGCAAGGATGCCTGTTCAGTAAGATCTCAAGGCTTCTTAAGCCACTTGGGACAGTAGCTTCACCTAAATCTGTAATCACACAACAAGGCTTATCAGGCCCCATCAGAACCAGCCATTTGTATCACACAGGCCAAGTGTTACCCATAATGGAGGTAAACTTTTAGAGCCAAGCTATAATATTCTCCATTAATGAAACAAAATAATAAATATGCTAAAAAGTGAAATTTTCAAATAAATCTACAACTTCAATTAATTCCATACATTAGATCTAGCTTGGGGAAGAGAACCTGGAATCTTTTAGCATCTGGGTAATAATATGACAAATTCTGTCAAGTATTTTAAAATTCTACAGACATTTAAAAAGCCTTTTAAGTGCTCATTTCTTTCTTTTTTTCATATTCATGATAGTCATTGCTACAGCAGTTGCTATTTAGAAGAGTAATCGTCCTACATTCTACAGAGACATTGCATATACCCAGATTAGGAGCCAGGATATAATATGAATACTGGTGCTTGGGCTTCTCCATTCATACTTTTCGAAAAATCAAAGAAGTAAGGAAACATTCATCTGATTTGCAGAGCTTGCTCTCTGGCGTAGGCAGAATTTTACCCTTATTTTAGTAGGTTCATGTTAATAATATGCTCTGCACTCTGGATTCAAGATTAACAAAGCATCACATTTCTTTAACAAACTTAAAATTACTTGGCCATGCATGAATTCACTCATAATGATATCTACTAGAGCTTTTTTTTTTTTTAAAGTTCCATGAACAAGAATATTTGATAGAATTAAGCATGGGAAAAGGCATGTTATTTTTATTTTTATTTATTTTTATTTATTTATTTATTTTATTATAAGATTTTATTTATTTATTTGACAGAGACACAGCGAGAGAGGGAACACAAGCAGGAGGAGTGGGAGAGGGAGAAGCAGGCTTCCCGTGGGGCAGGGAGCCTGATGCCGGGCTCGATCCCAGCACCCTGGGATCATGACCTGAGCCGAAGGCAGACGTTTAATGACTGAGCCACCCAGGTGCCCCAAGGCATGTTATTTTTAAATATCCTGGAAAGCAGCAGTCATATACAGTATGTCAGTCCAAGACTGTTTTTGGAAATACTTTCTCGTTAGATTGACCAAAGCTGTTTGAGAGAATTCCAGAAATATCAGATATATACTTATGCTATCATGTAAATGATGTTTAACTCAGAGATATCATCATATTGAGCCACAGCTTAACAGCGCAAAAGAACATATTTGGTGAAAGTGTGATGAGTACAACATTGGAAAATCTGACAAATGATAGTTATTTTTCCACACGTGCTTTAATACTGTGTGTGTATAAAGTACTGTATATAGGGAGAGAAAGTCCTCATTGCAAATCACTAGTTGCAAATTAATAATTTGAATTTCATCTTTGCTTTTTGCTTGATATAATAACTGAATGCTTATTATGTGTTCTCGGCTTAAAAATTATAGTTTGTATTCCTTTTCATGTACTATCCAGGTAATTGTTACTAGTTTTATTTTAAACAAATTTTATTAACCCAACCACAAAATTTGAGAATTTTTAAACAAATTACTTAAATACCATATAATTCTTAGGTCAATTACCTCCAAAGTGCTTATTTTTTTCTGAGCTGTTTTTAGCACTATATCAAATTATTCTTACAGGCAAGTAAGTGTCTTATTAAATTTTTTATTGAAAAGACCAAGCTCAGAATATCAGGTATAATAAAAATTAGATGGAATTTTAAATTATGAATTTAAATTTATAAAATTATTGATAACTATGGGAGCTAAATGATTAATGCAAGAGTACTTATACTGTTCTCTCAATAGTATATACTTGAAACTTTTCTTATTAAAAGTGTGTGTACATATGTATCATATCAAATATCATTGTATACATATTAATACATTTTGATTTCTCAATCTTTTTTTTTTTAAGATTTTATTTATTGGACAGAGAGACACAGCGAGAGAGGGAACACTAGCGGGGAGTGGGAGAGGGAGAAGCAGACTTCCCGCTGAGCAGGGATCCCGATGCGGGGCTGGATCCCAGGACCCTGGGATCATGACCTGAGCCAAAGGCAGATGCTTAACGACTGAGCCACTCAGGCACCCCTGATTTCTCAATCTTTAATTGAATTTCTGAATCAAATTATTTGAAAAATAATTACATATTATTTGGTCTTATTTTTTAGCGAAGCATATAAAGTTATATGAATATATAGGTAATCATATTGCTTCAGTTAGCAATAATTAACTGTTTCATGCATCTAAATCTCAAAGCGTATTCAAATTCGTAGTCCCTGCATGGTTTTTAATTGTTTTGAAAACCAGATTGTGACAAGCTTCTGGTTTATCCCTTCTTTTCCTTTCTTACAGATAATGGAATTGTACTGAAAGTAATCACGATTTATAACCAAGAAACAGAATCAATGGAAGAAGTAATTCTAGAAGAACTTCAGATATTCAAGGTATTTTTATAAGAAAAAAACAAAATAGACAACACTTATGTATTACAACTGCAAATGAGTTGTAAATAGGAAAGATGTTAGATCAGTTTTTTTTCCAACAGGTATGTTGTGAATTCAGAGTGAATTTGAAGTGAGGAATGGTTTAAAATCTATGTGATTATTGCAGACTATTCAAATGAGAAGGCCAATATTTGCCCAGCTAGCATGAAAAGAAGTTCAGTATATGAACTGTGACTTAAAGAAATAACACATACCACATATGAATTCCAGAATCATTATTGCCAAGTCTCATTTTTACAAATGCACTACCAACGTAGACAATTAAAACAAAGCAGTAGGTTTCATGTTGTAGACATTGTGATACTGCTTTTTATCATAACATATCAATTACCACAAAGAATTTCCCAAAAAAAGAAAACTAAAAAATGATAATGCAAAGATTAGACATGACAGTCGTACGCACACACACACACACACACATACACACACAGACTCAAGTGTCAATATTTGTGGGAGGTATGGTCTTTAAAATCACCGTGAACACCCATTAGTGAATACTGGCCAGTGCTCCTAGGGGACATACAGGGTTAGGTTCCTGTGAGTCTCTAGTCACAACATTTTTATCAACTGATCAATATATAACTTTGTTCTTTTTGTGTTTTTAATTGAAAGATGCCTTATTTAGTATATATTGTTGATTAACATGGAGCCCATGGGTCACAGCACTGTAACGCATGCATGAACAGAGCTTATTTAACACATGTATTTTCCCATAATACACAACACAGCCTTTTGAAGCTTTGAAACACTAGACAGCACTTTAGCGCTTTGCTTAGAGGCTATTTTAAACATCAAAATTGCCAATAAAACACAAAAATGTGAAAAACATGGCATTAAATAGAGCATGAAAAGGACACTTGTTTAGAATATGAGAGCTGAAACAGGAAGGCAGCATTGATCTCAGCTGGGGTTGTACTCATTGGGCAACCAAAATTTATTGCCTCTGTGTGCCTGCATGTGTCCATGAAGGACCACAGAACACTGTAAGTATTAATATTGGGAATACAAATAAATTTTAGCAAGTAAGCAAATGTGTAAAAAAAAAAGTCTGCAAATTATGAAGATTGACTGTATATGTTTGTAATGGATACATATGAAAATATCTTTATTGATGAAAAACAGTTTGTTTCACCTTGGCTGTCCTGGAGATTAGATTCCCCATAGCCACACCCAGTGTTAAGCATGTTCCTACCTCAACCAGAGCAGCTATGTTTATTTATCTTGCATTACTGGATTTCTATGTCAGATTTCATTTCACATTAGGTACCATAGCATCTGCCACAGGGTTTTGTTCATATCAACCCTGAGAAACATTGTCACCTGAATGAATAAATGAGGGCATGCATGCCTGCCTAAAGGGTTCTATAGTTTAAAATATGGAAAAAAATATTGACACAGGGGATCAAATTTTCTCTTTCAAAAAATAATTCTTTGAAGGATAATTATCCACAGAGTGGATCCCACCTGCCTGATGTTTGTGTACTGGCAGAATCCATCTGAGTTTGTGGTACTCATTTGAGAGACTTTACTCTTAATCACCATCCCTAGAATAACACACAGGCTCTCAAAGCTGTGTTGTAGATCATCTTTCCTCTGTTGCAGTTCGAAGACAATGAAGTCATTCATCTTGCTCAAAGCATCCTGGGTTCATATTGATTGACCATGTTAACACCAACAGAAAAAGTATTTTATTTAGTCTTGGATTAAAACAAAGTCACATGGTTTGTTAACAATATCACCTATTCAGAGACATAACTGTTTCACTTCTAATGGTTCAAATACCTTATAAGAAAGAACACTGTGACTCTACTATTTATTTAAAGATACTTGAGTTTCCAAAGCTTGAGTAATATTCAAATGCAAATACAAAAATTACACTTCAGGAACAAATGGTGAGCTATTTAGATTATCCACTACTTTTTCACCTTACATATCTGTCCTATTCCATTAAAAAGAGTTCTTAAAAGAAAGCTATATTTAACGTAATTATATGTTCCTATTGATTTGCTAAAATGAAAGCTATAGGCTAGCATAGAACTAGTCACATACCTAATATGAGTTCACATGATTTACAACTATATTAAAGTATGTTCCTGTATTTCCTTAAAAACTTAAAAAAATTTTTTTCAGGATCCAGTTCCTATTATTTCTATGGAGATTTCTTCAAAGAGAGTAAGTTTGTGTGTATGTGCCTGTGTACGTGTTTGTATATGTGAGTCAAGGTCAGAGATAAAGAGCAGAAGTACATGTGCTTATACATGAACAAGTTACAGGTGTATTCTGATGAAAATATATGTGATTTACATGTAATAGATTTATTTTTCTATTATTAGAGGAAGGTAGATAAGAGTAGATTTACTTCTAGTATCATGATAGGATGTTATTCTGTAATTTTTTTGTTAAAGTTTTTGCAAAAATAACAGTAAATGATGGTAACACAAGAGTGTGCAGTGAAACACAAAGCTCTTCTCCACTTTACTAGAACCAGTTTCTGGTGCAGATTTCTCCAGAAATATTATCTCAAATTTATTTATAAATAACCATTTATGTTTAGGCAAACAGGAACATGTAATGTTACTTGTTCTGCTACTTATTGTTTTTACTTTACAATGTATCTCACAGTTTATTCCCTCATTCTATGTACATATCTGTATCACTCTTTTAAATGTTACACGTTAGTGTGCACTATTGTTGGGAATGTAAATTGGTGCAGCCAATATGGAAAACATTACAGAATTTCCTCAGTGTATTAAAAATAGAACATATGATTAAACAATTTCATTTCTGGGTATTTATCCAAAGGAAACAAAACACTAACTCTGAAAGAAATCTGTACCCACATTTATTGTGGCATTGTTCACAATGGCCAACACGTGGAAACAACCTAAATGCCCATCAGTGGGTGAATGGATAGAGAAAATGTGACCTATATGTACAATGGAATATTATTTGGACACACACAAAAAAGAAGGAAATCCTTCCATTTGTGACAACATGGCGGACCTTGAGAGCATTACACTAAGTGAAATAAGAAAAGACAGCACATAAACTCACTGATATGTGAAATTGAAACAAACAACAGAAAAATGAGCTTGTTTTTTACAGAGAACAGTTTGGCAGTTGCCAGAGGCAAGGGGTGGGAGGTGGGCAAAATGGGTGGACAGGATCAAAAGGTACAAATTTCCAGTTATAAAGGAAGACCTGGGAATGTAATTTATGGCATAGTGATTATAGTTAATGATACCCTAATGGATATTGGAAAGTTGCTAAGAAAGCACACACACACAAAAAAAATTCTACCTGTATGTGTTGAGGAATGTTAACTAGACTTACTGTGGTGATCATTTCACAATACATACAAATATTGAATCTTTATATATACACCTGAAACTGACATAGTGTTATTTATCAATTACATCTTAGTTTAAAAAATGCAACAACAACAACAACAACAAAAGACCATTTACTTATCCAGTACGTTATTGGACACCTCTAAAGGTCTTTTAAAAAGACCTAAGGTATTAAATGATGAAAGAGGCTTTCTGTTTAAATAACAAAAGAACAGTCAACTTCTTGAGATTTTGTCAAGCTCACTCTAGCAATTTTGTTTACGGGCGTCCAGGTCTATGATATATTTCATATCTTAGAGAAATGAAAGTACCAGTGTTCCGTTACCCATCCTGAGTAACTGCAGTAATTTAAATGAACATTCACAGAAGTGATTGTGCATAAATGTGAAATTCAGTGAGCGTTCTGTCCCTTTCTGCTAGCGGCCTCTCTGTTCTTTGATGTCTCTAGCAACAGCTGTATGTTGGATCTGCTTCTGCTGTGGCCCAAGTCCGATTCCATCAGTGTGACATGTACGGAAGTGCTTGTGCTGATTGCTGCCTGGCTCGCGACCCTTACTGTGCCTGGGATGGCATAGCCTGTTCCCGGTATTACCCAACAGGCACCCATGCAAAGAGGTGAGAGAGGCCTCAATGGGCTATTTCCCTTGTTTAGAAAAGCCATAACACTTTCTAAAATATTTTTCTTTCTGCACACATCCCATGAAAATAACCATATTAGTTTTGTTTAAATAAGCCATCATAATCGTACTTTGTTCATAATATAAGCTTTGAAAGTTGAATCTTACCTGAAAATAACTCCTATCAATTACTGTCTAGAGACTGGAGTTTTTATTGGGTTTTTAATTTCTTTTTAACCATGTTTGAATCAACTCTTCCCCCTCCTGACACTTTTGCTGCAAGACATGAAACCAGTTTAGATAAACTTAAAATGTGGAAATGGCAAGGCACCACACATGAGGGATTCAAAGACTTGAAAGAAAAATAAATAAATTCTAAAATACATCCTGCATTTGCCCCGTGTCCTCTCAACCAGCTGGTCTTCATTTATTTCATTTTGAAAGTGAATATTTTAACTCCTAGGCAAATGTATGACCTGTATAATTAATGAAACGTGTGATTTAATTCAACACAAATGAAAGGTACTTAGAGACCTCCAAACCCTGATGTGTACAATTCAGCGAGGTCATTGCCACTTGTAAAAGAAAGTAAATCTCAGCATTCTTTGAACAGAAGATCTTGAGGTCCAGAGAGTATTTTGAAGGATGGAGATATTTCTTCACTCAAGCCATATGAAATTGTGCGTGCTTTGTGAGGAAACATAAAGGAAAATATTTTTATTTATTATAAAATAAGCATTTACTTTTTTCTCCTAGTAAAGTGGCCAAAGACACTATAAAGCAAAAACACAGAACTATGTACAGTTTCCTTACTGAAAATTAAGTTTTTATTAATTTCAATTATTTTTACTCTTTGACTCTGGGTTACTTTTCTCAAACTTTTTAAAAAATTTCATTTAATATAGTTATTATATAAAAATCTCAATAATGTAGTTTGTTTTCAAGAATCAAGCAAATTGATTTTGTACAAATGCCTACTGATATTTAAAAACACTGCTTGAAGAATATAGCCACGTTACTATGTAAAAATAGTGTTCAATGATTTATTCACACACTACGCCAACTACCGTACTATGTGCATGGAGGATGGAGAAGTGGTCAGTACTCTGGCTATATGAAATTGGAACCTAAAGTGGAAAATGGAATTATAAATAAGGATGATAGTAGGTCACTACTGAGCACTTATTACATATAAGATACTGGACTAAGCACAGTACACTTTGTACATTATTTAATTCTCAAAATAACCCAGCCTTTGAGCTCAGTCTTGTAGGTGGAAATATAAGAAGATTCTAGTTAAAGGGAATCGTACAAAAGGCATAGAATCTTCAGGGAAAACCCTGTAGTTCCATAAGTTAGGAGTAAAGTAACTGGTTCTCAGGGTGGAAAGGTAATTTCACCGAAAATAATAAAATGAATTTTTTTATTGTTATTAGCAACAATAACAGTGTTTGCAAGCCGTGCATCAAATATTTGTGAATAACAAGGTTTTGTTTTAGGCATGCAATAGAGGTGATGAATGAATTCTTACTAAGCAGTTTCCATAGCTAGATACTTCTTGATCCATGGTGCATCTTATTAGAGTATACATCCACAAGCTTGATAATATATTTACAAAGGGTGGACAAAAAGTTATTTAGTAAAAGTCAAACGAATGGGCAGAATCTTAGGAAGGAGCCCAATGCTCGAGTCAGGAGCCGCTGTGCTCGAAAATGAGTGAATTCGGTTCAGTGACAAGTAATGGAGATCTTTCACTGGTGTCAGATTCTTTTGAACCATCACCCACCCCCGGAGGAGAACGTTTTGGATGGGTTCCAACACATGAAGGGAAAATAGTTTGCTTTTACAGCAATTCGTTGTTTCTTCAGACCTGACCAGCAGCAGAAATTAAAAACTGGTCATTAAAATAAATACTTTTCTGTTCACAGAGTGAAAATGAGTCAACAGAGGAAAAACATTAATTCGCAATCCAAACCACTTGTTTAAAATAGTCTTCCAAAATACACTATAATTTATAGAGCTAAGACTTTTACTTCCCCTGGCCCTTATATTTTGTCTGTTTCCGGTGTGCTCTTAAAAAGTTTCTAAGTAGCAAGAGATAGAAGAAAAATAGGTACCTTTGAGAATAAAAGGCAAATTTGATGAACCTTCCTCAAACTCGTGAACATTTACGGTCTTTTTAATATGCTGAGGTAAGGGACAGTTATACGAAGATAGTATAAAGTGAACTGAACCCTTGTTGGGGGATGGGATAGCGTTCTTTTTAAATGCATGTGTTCATGACTTTAAACATACTCTTTGTGTTATTATTCACATTGCAAAATTTTGTGGTGTTATTCACATTGCATACCTAGAATTATCTGAATGCACCTCCCTTTATGCTCACATCACTCGTATAATAAACCTGACAAAACATTTCTGCAGAGTAGAAACTATTTCCCGTTTCCTTGATTTACCCCTGCTCCATTACTCACCACTGCTCGGCAGACTTCGGATTCCCAGTACCAGTGCAATACTTAATGAAGGAAGGAATCCGCAAGAGCAGTTTACTACTCATCCAGAGCTGCTATCGGTTACATATGCCTGCACATGCTAGCATAAAATAATACAGAAGCAGAAAACTTTTTACTTTTGCTCCTTTTTTGTCAAGTTCTTTTTTCCGTTTAACCCAATAGAATGATTCATACAGCGCTTTTAATCTGAACTGTATAAAATCCCAGTTTTCTAGACAAAGTCTTCTAATCTCCAATCTCTGTATTTTAAAAAAGCAAGCTTTGCACACAGGTCATAATTCTAAAAATTGATTGCAGATAGGCACCTGCCATAGCTTTCAATACAAGGAAATACTTAAACCATTGTTTTTTAAGTATTGAGCTGTTAACTAAGACCTGAACTCACGTGTGAGAAAGCACTCCATCTCTTGAAATGTTCCATTATCATTATTTGGAGGCAATGAGGAGAGCCTAGAATGAAAAAAAAATTGAGATTGGAATAGATTTTAGATGTTGATCAATTAGACCAACTTCATTTTACAAAGGAGGACAGAAAGAACCAAGGTATGTGTGAAATCAGGCAACATGTGAGTGATGGCATTGGGATTTGAATCTGGTTCCCTTTTCCAGATTTTATCATTGCATATGGTTAAAGCATTTCATTGTCACTTTGGAAGCCTCACCATCTCCCTCTGGGGTGAAACTTCTGCTTTGCCTTCTGTTTTTTCCTCAATCTTGAAGAAATGCCATGATTTAGAAAAGCAAGTAGTATTTTCTGCCTTTATGTAATACTTCTATTTTTATCTCTAATCTGAATTAATATGCTGAAGATTTTGATCTTGGAATTTCAGTGCTAATAATGATAATTTCCATTGTCTAATCCCTCAGAAAGCTGCTTATGAATTTAAAACAAGATCTGTACTATAGAATTTTTTTTCCCATGGATAAAGAACATTGTTATTTTTCAATTATATATCTAAACAATCTATAAAATATAAAAATACACTAGAAGTGATTCTCAGTCTAATAGCCAATCTTGCCATACAGCCAGTTAAGTATGTATTACACACAATCACATTGAATAGAGGTATGTAATATCTACATATAATATCTGAATAAAAGAGTAAGTTGAATACATTATTAGTTTCTCTCTTTATTGCCAGCTCTGTTTGTGCTATGTGACTATGATGGCTATAGAACAAAATATTTGGATACAAGTGCCTTTACCTTTTTTGCATGCACCTTATTCTATATAGGAGTTTTACAATTTTTATTTAAATAAATAGTCTGACTCGAATCCCACTGTCTTTCCTGCGTACCTCCTTTACCACCCCAAACACCCATTTGAAACAGAAGAATTCTTGTTGCACTAGATTATTAAACAAAATGTAAAGAGAGCTTTCTTAAATTATTTCAGGATCCAGAATTCAAACTTACGTGAACACTTAAAGAAGAGTTTTATATAGATCTTATCCATTGAATAATAGTGGAAATAGAAACTATGAAACTTGAATTTTATCCTTGTTTTGTATGACAGATCAATTTTTTTCAGTAGCAGAATACTACTTGAGTCCTTAATGCAGTTGGCTGCATTTTAAAGTCTGGAAAATTGAAATCTGAACATCTCCTAAATGCATCTACTTTCTTTCAGGCGGTTCCGCAGACAAGATGTTCGGCATGGAAACGCCGCTCAGCAATGCTTTGGACAGCAGTTTGTCGGTAATCCAGAGAAAATCAATTGCTATGGGTTACTCGGGGTGTACAGTGAAGATAAACTGCAGACTTCTTAAAAGGGTCCTTGTTTCCTTTGTGATTGATATATACTAGAACAATGTTACTGATTCTTTTTTTTTCCACGTAGCTAAAATTTTGTGGATTTTTAACACCGAAAATTTTAATTATATGTGGACGTATAATTTTTAATTAATTAGGAAAATTAATTCTATATGCCACTATGAAGACCTTACTATTAGACCTCAAAACAGGAGGATCTTAGAACGAGATGCCACAGTGATTTGTAGGACCTCTCTCTCTGTCTCAGCCCCGGGAATATCTTCACCATTTTATGCTACCTATGGTAATCTTATCAAGGGTGATCAAACTTGTATCAAGTCACCTACTAAGCTTTGGGGTAGAATAAAGTGAAAAACTTTGTCTTCCACAAGAGTAGGGAAGCCGAGAGCTCAGGTTGATGGAGGAGATGTGAGTTTCTGAGGAAAGGTAGTGAGTGGTCTGATGGGTAAAGGATGAGAGGAAATTTCTGCTTCAGCAAATGTAAGAAGTCACACAACACAGAAAACCATGGTCCTGACTCTTCACATCGTGTTGGTGGTTGGAACTGGCTGTGACTGGTGTCCCCAGTTTCACGAGGAGGTACCAGGGAGATGAAGCGTCGTGACTGGGAGACGAGGAGTGCTTATATACAATCCAGAGTTGCATAGCATCAGTTCACTAGACCCAAGGCTGAGTGAGCATTTGGTGCAGGACATAAGCCTTGGACAACATTGGCTAGAGGAAGGCACGATCTTAATCTAGGAAAATTTAGGCATCGGTTTTGAAAGTGAGGAGGACTCAGGCACAAGGAAAAAAATCCCAGGTTCTAGTGACTGAATTTGATATTGGTTAAAACAACAACGAATACATCCACTTGTTATTTTTTAAGATTTTATTTATTTGAGAAACAGAGAGTGAGCGAGCGAGAGAGCACAAGCAGGGGGAACAGCAGAGGAAGAGGGAGAAGCAGGCTCCCCGCTGAGCAGGGAGCCCCATGTGGGGCTCGATCCCAGGACCCTGGGATCATGACCTGAGCCGAAGGTAGCAGCTTAACCAACTGAGCCACTCAGGCGCCCTGTCCACTTGCTTTTATTCCTCACTGCAGTTAAGTGGTTTAGCCTGTATGCAAATTTGAGTTCAAGTCCAGTGAGAGCCTCCCTGGGCCAAGATAAAGATTATAATCAGGAAGCTCTGGATCAGAAGTCTGTAGTTCAGTTTTGTACCCTTTTCTTACTGTAGGAGCCCAATATTTGGATAAGTGCAGTCCCTTGACAAGATCTCACTCAAACTTGTGTTTATGTAGCACCGTATCACCTTGATTTCTGCTTTCTGCTTTTGTTTGTAACCATGAATTTTGTCTTACATTTTACTCGAATATTTGGTGCTCACCTTCTCTTGCCTGCTCTGTCAGTGGATATCATCACTGATTTTCCATGCATTTAACACGGATGCACCTTCTTACTGTCCTGACTGTCCTGCTCTTTGGACCCACACTCCCGTTTACTTCCTTCTGGTCCTCTCCATAGCCTGCAGTACTTTTTAAAGCCTAGATTTTGGTATACCACTGTCCCTAAATATCTCCTTTAAATGACCTTGCATAGAAATTAGTAGTAAGTCATGAAAGATACTCACTTTGCTGCAGGAATCTAAATGAAGAATCTCTTGAAAATATTATTTACTGGAATGCCAGAGTGGCTCAGTCAGCTGGGTGTCTGCCTTTGGCTCAGGTCATGATCCCAGGACCCTGGGATCGAGTCCAGCATCGGGCTCCCTGCTCAGCGGGGAGCCTGCTTCTCCCTCTGCCTGTGGTTCCCCCTGCTTGTGCTCTTTTTCTGATAGATAGATAGATAGATGAAAGAATAAATAAATAAAATCTTTTAAAAAATATTTACTGATAAAATCAAAGTCTTAAAGTTAATTTTAGTATTTATATTGTAGGGGATGCTTTGGATAAGACTGAAGAGCGACTGGCGTATGGCATAGAGAACAACAGTACTTTGCTGGAATGTACCCCACGATCTTTGCAAGCAAAAGTTATCTGGTTTGTACAGAAAGGACGTGACACAAGAAAAGAGGAGGTAATTCATAGCTGCACATTCACGCCGTGATGTCTTGCTTATGGTGTGTGATAGTAAATAGATGATGACTTATTTGGTGTTTAAAAATGAATCAGTCTATGGGGGGTGGGAGGGATGGGGTGGCTGGGTGATAGACATTGGGGAGGGTATGTGCTATGGTGAGCACTGTGAATTGTGCAAGACTGTTGAATCACAGATCTGTACTTCTGAAACAAATAATGCAATATATGTTAAGAAAAAAAAAAGAAGAAGAAGATAGCAGGAGGGGAAGAATGAAGGGGAGTAAGTCGGAGGGGGAGACGAACCATGAGAGACGATGGACTCTGAAAAACAAACTGAGGGTTCTAGAGGGGAGGGGGGTGGGGGGATGGGTTAGCCTGGTGATGGGTATTAAAGAGGGCACGTTCTGCGTGGAGCACTGGGTGTTATGCACAAACAATGAATCATGGAACACTACATCAAAAACTAATGATGTAATGTATGGTGATTAACATAACAATAAAAAATTAAAAACTAATGATGTACTGTATGGTGCCTAACATAACATCATAAAATAAATAAATAAATACAAAAAAATAAACAAAACTAATGGGAATCATTGTCATGAAAAAAAAATGAATCAGTCTATTGTGCTATACCTATTGTGCTAAAAAGTGGATTTATTTATTATGTGTGATGTATATACTTATAAAAAGTTTTAATACACACATAGATTGCTGTGTATAATAATTTATATATGCTATAAAAACCTATGTGCATATATAAAATTTTTATGTGTATAAATATACATGTAAAGACATAAATACATATATTAAATACAAAATACATATATACACATATAAATTATATGTGCATGTATGTGTGTATGTATAAACTTGGATTCTGAAAATTGGACTTTTATTCAGTAGGTACTCATAGCTTCATGATTTTCGTACCTTGTTGTCAAAATGATCGTCTTAAATTGTATCACCCAAGGCAGTGTTCTAGAAAAATAACAAATTTAAACAACATTAACACGTATATCTTAGACATAGGGATAATAGAATTAAAACAACAGCAACAACATTAAACCAATTGTTTGATAAAGCAGTTGAGTCATATATGAAACATTGCCACAGGGGTTCCATTAGTGCCCACTGGGAACAAAAGAAAGGCATCAGTTTGTCCTTTTGAGTAGGTTTAGTGGTGGAGATTATATTTCTATTATCATCTAAATGAGAGAGGAATCAGTTGTGCTGCTTTTATAGATGGAAGAATAGGGAGCATTTAAAGCACACATAAGGGATAGCCTGGAGGCAGTTACTGGATAATCTTTTTATGAGAGTCTAGGGATCTGGTTGCTTATTGGCCAGTGTCAAGGGCATGAAGCACTTAGTAAAGGCAGGTAAAACGTTAGGGATGCTAATGTGGGCTTTGAACTCAGTTTTCACAAAAGTTGAATTATAAAAATAGAAAGAATGAAATTTGGCTAAATAAAGGGAAACAGATCTTGGTGACTGCTAGCAAAATGTTTCTTGGTAAAAAGAAAGTAGCAAATTGAATAAGGGAAAGAAATATTAGACACCTGCCGTAGGACCCAGGGACGAGCTAATAGGGACACAGTGGGTAGAGAAGGAATCAGTGAAGCCATCAACTGTAGATCCCAAATGTAGAGCACACTGACTTTTTATGCCTTTTTTTCCTAGTCTGTTGTTTAACTAAAAATGCAACATACTTTTGGTCCAAAATCATACAGTACATTCTGGGAGAGGATTAAATTTGTAAATCCCATGTTCCTGGAATAGTTATTAGAGAGGAAGGCACTCAACAAAGGCGCTCTAGAAAGGCAATCACGGACAGGAAAATTCTTCTGAATTTTCATGACATCATAAGAATAAACATGTGTTTTAAAATGTTACAGCATATTGCACTAAAGTACATTGTTGATTTAGCACTACGGTATTTTCCATTCGACAAATCTGATGCGAAACTGATTTTTAAATTCCGTCATAATCCACTTGGCAGGAGAGGACCTGGGAATATTCTGTAGCTCCTTTCGTTGAATGGCTTCAGAAGACAGAGAAGTCATTCTTTCATCAGTGGCTTTCCTCCCTCAGTATGTTCTGTTTCTAATTTGGAAGTCACTATAATCTGCCTCATTTGGAAATCTTTACCAAATCATTTTGACAGGCTGCATCCATCAATGTTCAATTATAAGCTTCTTTCTCCTATTGTTGATATAATCTGCTTCTCCTTTCCCCAAATTTTAGTTTCTGTTTTTCAAATTTCCATGACTGATAGATTTACTGATACTTGAAATTTTGAATTTACTCCATGCATTAGGTGTCATCATCATTCACTCCTTGGTTTCTATAGACACAGCAATGTATATTGATTTATTCACAGTTCTAGAACAAAACACAAAATTGCTGACTTCATAAAAAGGTGGATGTGTTTGCTGAATGCACAGAGCAGAATGACTTTGATTGTCCTTTTAGAGTTTGTTTTAAGGTTCTTTTAGAGTCTTTTATGGAGCTTTTAGAGGTTTTCTTTTTTAAGACCATTTTGTTAAAAGACCATTTTATTATAGTTACTGTGGACAGAGAATTATTTTATTATCAAATCTTGACCATTGTATAAGATCTTGAAATTCATCCACTCCCATTTCTTACCACATATGTAAATGCTTTTAGAGTACCCTTGACAGTAGCCAGCAAGGTTCATCACAGACACTTCAAGCTGTAAGTCATTAATTTGTAGTCAGACCATAGCCTTTGTAAAAAAAAATTTTGATTGTGAGACACACACACACACATTTTTGAGTCTGGGACTTTGGCCTGCAAATCCAAACTCACCTCTCTGGAAACCATATATTCAGGTGAATAAAATTTTGCTCAAATAAAGCTTTTGAAATGCTACGTAGCTGAATTGCTAGAAAACATCTCGACATTCAGTTATCCAGTTTCTTTCTCTTTTTTTTTTTTTTTAAAGGTTTTGTTTATTTGACAGAGAGAGAGACACAGCAAGAGAGGGAACACAAGCAGGGGGAGTGGGAGAGGGAGAAGCAGGCTTCCCGTGGAGCAGGGAGCCCGATGCGGGGCTCGATCCCAGGACCTTGAGATCATGACCTGAGCCGAAGGCAGACACTTAACAACTGAGCCACCCAGGCGCCCCAGTTATCCAGTTTCTAACCTGGATTACTGCTCTTCTCTCGAATGGGCACTTTATGGTCTCTTGCTTTCTTAAATACCACGTGTGAACCACATCTCTGTACATTTTACTAATTCCATAAATGTTTATTGAAAGCCTGTTTTGCAGGTAATTCTTATGGGAGTATTTTTCCCTTGGCTCAGTGACCTTAGTTAGGATGTGCATCAGTTCTTGTGATATCCTGAGGGAAAAGATTTTAATAGAGGACACTTTATAGGTGAGGCTGTTCTTCACTGTGCCTCTACCACACACAGAAGCTGCAGTAGTAGGTAGGTGCTTACCTTACTGCTCTTATGTCTCACAAATGCGCCTTTGAGGTCATGGACCTCTTCCTACAAATGTGAAAATGAAAACTGAGAGAGGTATAGGTAACAAACAACGTCCGTGACAGACCCAAGGTTTGAACTCAGATATTGCTGACTCCAAAGCTGAGCTGCTTCCCACGTATTCAGCGTCTAAGTACCGAGAGGAATTTGCTCTGTGCATTTAATAGAATATACCATTTTATTCTAAAACATGATTTACAAGTGACATAATTGAGACACAGAATGTTTAATCACCTCCCTGGTTACTGACAGCTAGTAAAGTTGACTCACATCCACGTGTCTGTGGGTTCTCTTTACTAAACCACACAGCCTTCTGAAATCAGAACCCTAAATACAATTTCAGATGCTTTGGGACATGTAGCAAATGGAAGACCATTTACAGCCAAAGTTCTGGAATTTGACTTCTGAAAAATGGTCCTGATATCTGCTTGATTCTTACCTATATTTTTCTCATCAAACTTCGGTGAAGCATGCTACTGCAGCCTTGGGGGCAAGAGCAGTAGTCCTCATGTTTAGATGTTAAGAACCACCAGTAATTTGAACAGTTCCCACTCTAAGCAGTGATACCATGAATCCTTATTATACAAGGTATGCAGTGTGTTTCCATTCTCAGTTTCTCTTTCAGGCTTTATTTTATGTCTGTTGGTAGAAGAAGGGTTCTGTATCCAATTAAATGTTCTCTCTATTTGAGCCTATGTAATAGAAAACCAAGAGCACTCTACCTCGTTTTCTCGGGTTTTTAACCAAACTAATGCTTCATTCTTTTGCAACTTACCTATTGAGCATCCGATATGCCCTGTTTTCATAGAACCTGTATTCTAGAGAACAGAGGAAGATGATGGTGTTGATGAAAACAGTAGTACAACTAAATATAAGAACCATATTTAATGTATCAGGTGATGATGAGAAGAAAAGTGCAAGAGAGATTACCTACAGGGAGAGGTTGCGGTTTTAAAGGGGTGTTCGTGGAAAGTCTTAACTAAGAAGGTCACCAACTCAGTGACATTTGAAAAGGACTTGAAAGAACTGAGGTAGTAGGCCATATGCTAGTGTTGGAGAACTTTCTGGATAGTGGGAACAGTAGATGTAAAGGCCCTGATATATTCAAGTGCACCTGAATGGGAGTTGGGAGTGCACCTGATATATTCAAGGAGCCTTTGAGTGAAGGGCAGTGTGGCTAGAAGGGAATGAGCAGTAGGAGACTAGTAAACTATGGGTCAAAGAGTGAGGGAAAGGCCCTGCCCGTGCAGGGCTTTGTAGGCCCTTATAAAGGGCTTTGGTGTTTGCTCTGCGTTAAATGGATAGCCGTTGTGTAGTTTCCAGCAGAGCCATGACGTGATCAAAATTTGGTTTTGAAAGGATCTATTAAGAATATAAAATGTGGAGGTGGGGAGAAAGGCAGAAGCAGGTGATCATTGAGGTGATAGGGACATAAATCTTTATGTTCACTGATACAACATTAACTCTGTATGTGCCCTTTACCTT